TAGGCCAAATTCTTGGCAATCTTAGTATTTTCCCCTAAAGTAAGAGGACATGTTTCTGTACCCGCATAAAACAATGTCCCAATGGCTCCAACACTTGGCTGCTTTCCACTCCAAAGTCTCCAAAGAGACCCAGCTTTCTCTCTCTGGTTTGAGCTTTCTTTACCTAAAAATGATGCAGGCTGCCTTCTAGAGCTATTCTTGTCTAGAGAAGACAAGTGTGGTCTGAACTAAGGAAGAGAACAGTTTCAGAACTCTTGAGTAACTCTGCTGGTGTGCAATTTCCTAAAAAGGACAAGACACAGTTGGCATGCAGGGACCCACGGCATGTCTTCGCGATCCCACAGCTCCACTCCAGCCCTGCTGGGGACAGCCCATGGCTGACCAGCGGCTCCAAGTGCCCAGGAGGTCCAGCCACCGTGCAGCAACAGAAGCTCGAGTATCCAAACAGGCTCGTACAACTGGAATCCCTGTCCAAGGGGCCTTTCCTCGCCACCTGCTTCCCAAATGGAAAACTCACAGAAGATGGAAGTCGTGATTTCACTGGGGCTTCCACGAGGGAAACAGGAGCGTGGCAGGCTGCACCCGTTTTTCTTCGTGGGCATCACCAGCAACAGTGAGGATCCTTAGGCAGCACTCTCTACTCTTGCTTCAATCCCCGCTCTCCTTTAAAAAGCTGTTCACTCAAGGGGTGTCCGGGCGGCTCAGCTGGTTAAGCGGTTAAGTGTCTGCCTTCAGATCAGGTCACGAATCTCATGGTTTGCGAGTTCGAGCCCTGCGTCGGGCCCTGTGTTGACAGCTCAGAGCCTGGAGCCTGTTTCAGATTCTGTCTCTCTCTCTCTCTCTCTCTCTCTCTGTCCCTCCCCCGTTCACGCTCAGTCTCCCACCCCCCCCAAAAAAACAAATAAATCATTAAAAATTTTAAATGGCAGGCTTTTCAAGAGCAGGTATCATATCACCAATTCCTAAGGACCTCTTCACCTCATCTAGAAGGAAACACCGTAGGAGAGAACCCACTTTTAAAAAGATAAAAATTTTAAAAATAAATAAATAAAGCTGTTTCCCTCCGGGCTACAGACGGATTTGCCCGGACAAGCGATGTTGGTCCACAGCTTGCTGCGGGCTAACCACTCCCCTGCGTAAAGCCTTCTGCAGGGCTGTTACCGAGCCCGCCCAGGGACTGTGTGTCACAGGAGCGCCCCTCGGCACAAAGGGCAGCCATCCCACATCACCCACCCAGGAAAGCGTAAGCTGCATCCTTAAGACTCTGTACTTGAAACCTTCCCCAGCGATTGGGGGCCGCTCAATTCTTTTGAAAATGCAATTTCACACAGAGCAAGGGAGAGTGGAGAAAAAGAAAAGGCGGTCCCGGAAAGGCGATCCCTGAACGCCTGCTTCCAAAGAGGAAAACTGAGCGAAGGAGAAAGAGAAAAAAGAAAAGAAGCTCCTTCCCTGTGAACACACCCTTCTCTGGGCCAGGCTGCCCGGGGGGCCTCTATCTGCAGGTTCCTGCCACGTGGGGTTTGTCTGCAGGTCTGAGTCTAGAGGCTGACGCCAGGGTGCCAGCCTGCTCCCTGTCTCCAGTCCCGCACCACGGAGGCCACAGCCCACGGACCGTGGCCTGTCTCCAGTCCTTCAAGGCTCTGCAGAGGGACCCGCTGGGGTGCCGGCGGCAGATGCTGTGGTAGCCAATTTCATCCTGAGACACACAGGCCCACAGGGGAAGAGCTAAATCTAGAAGAAAGTAGCAGAGGTCACGGCTGCAGGGCAAGAGCAGCCAGGCCGGCTCGGTCAACGGTCAATGGCACCTTCCTCAACCCAGAATCGAGGAACACAGGACAAAGCCACCTCAGGGATCACTGCCCCACGCCCTCATTTGCAGAGCTGCTAGATTTCACCTGCCTGGCTCATTCACAGATCCCCAGGGCAGCCCGGAACCAGACCGAGCCCGACGCCCGGGACCCCCAAGGCTTCTGTCTGTGTCCACGAACGACTCACCCACGGCGGCGGGGGGTGGTGGGCGGGGGGGGGCGTCTGCCCTCAAGTTCTCTGGAGCTTATTTTGAATTTCACTTTCAAAGCTAACAAGTTTGCTGATGTTCTTTCCAACGCCCTGGAAAATCCTAAGTAGCAGCTTAGAAAAAAGCGGAAGTACAACCACTCACAGACACTCTTTAAAACTACCAGGAAGTGACAATGGAGAGTTCAAGGGGGGGGAAAAAAAACCCTACAAAAAGCAGTCCAGAGAACTAACAGAACCCAGCACCGAAAACCAGCTCTGGGAACATACCTAAGGTCATTAATGGTGGTGATCTTGCCTCAGAAAGCATCCATCCCTCATTCCATGTACACGTCTATGTATACTTAATACACAAGTACACATATGCCCCAAGTACACACAGGATGCTGGCCCTCAGTATTTGCATAAATACACAGGTACGCATTCACGGACACGTACAGGACTTTCACGTTCTGACGCTTTGGAGGGTGAGCCATAAACTATTTACGAAACTCAACTAAGCCAAAATGACTCACTGCCTGAAGATTTCAGGGCCTCATAATTCTAAGAGGCTATTTTGTTGCTGGCATCGACAGCCATGGCTTCGTCAATGAAAAGAATCTTAATTAGGGAGCCTATTTCTTCCCGGCCTCCCTTTCCAAAAATAACTAGTTCCCACCTGGAGGCCATCTTTGAACAGCATTTTGTAAAGCGCTGTGCCTGGATGAACAGGGTCACGAGGGCCCGGCATTCTTTCACACAGCGCAGACTAAAAAGGAAGCCCAAGTTTCTCTGGGTTCTACCAGAAGCCAGGACTGAGACGGGAGCAGGGAAACACATGTGGGGAGCCAAGGCCCGCTGACAGAACTATTCGAGCCCCATTATGTCATCAGTATGAAAACAGAAAGATAACTCAAACATGTGACCAGTGGTAAGGCAAGGGCCTATTTAGCTAAACCGCTTATCCAACATCATGATCATTCTATCACTGACATGATTTCATATCAGGATTCTGGGTCATTGGTTAAACCTGAATTCATGCAAAACTGAGGGAAAACCATTATGAATGTAACAACTGCCATCTATCCAGCAAGCAAATTCTTTAAAGCCTGTAGCCCACGGAGAAAAGTATTAAACGACGCTCCAGGGACTGACGTGGATGGAGTGACCTCCCGAGGTCTGAGGCACACCCCAACCCACCACCGAAAAGAACCAACTGGCGTCAAAGAGTGCTTGCAAACATTTCTGAAGACAGAAGCCGATCCGACATAAACCGATCTGACAACTCTCCACATCCGTGGCAGAACGGTTCATTCACCAAGAAGACAGACGGTGGAGAAGCTTCTCCAGACTGGCTGCTGGGTTCACTGAAAACAGAAAAAGACAGCCCTGAAAAGCACACTGTCCAAGGGGTGCCTGGGTGGCTCAATCAGTTATGCATCTGACTCTTGATCTCAGGGTCCTGAGTTCAAGCCTCACTTGGGTTGCGCCCTAGGAGTGAAGCCTACTTTTAAAAAAAGGAGGGAGGAAAGAAAGAAAGAAAGAAAGAAAGAAAGAAAGAAAGAAAGAAAGGAAGGAAGGAAGGAAGAAAGAAAAAGTAAGAGAGAAAGAAAGAAAGAAAGAAAGAAAGAAAGAAAGAAAGAAAGAAAGAAAGAAAGAAAGAAAAAGTATGCTATCCTATATAAGAAAGGGGCAAAAGTGGTAAGCTGCACCCAGTAAGAAAGCAGTGAGATGCCCTGAGTGTTTTTATTGAGCCTGCGGCTGCCATATGTATATGGGACCTGTTTCTCTGTAGGTGTCTCAAACCAAGCAGATTTCATGTCCCTGGAATAACTAAGGATACTTATATAATGGCTGAGGACTCAACTATAGGACTTCTGAGGAATGCAGCCTTCGAGTCCAAAAATCTAAACAAAAGTAAATACTATTTCACATAGGATGAAAGAATTTCTAAAATCACAATACCAAAGAATTGTTTGTATCTTAACCTTGAGGGCCACTTACAGAGCTGCGGGAAACTATCTGTCGTGCTAATTTATACATGCTTTCAGCAAAGATTTGCTTAACACTTCCAATGCACACAACAGAGCAGCAGGAGCTGTGAAGACACAGAAGTGGAAAGACGAAACCGAGGGGGGACCCAAAAAGCACAGAAAAGACTAGAGGGGGAAAACACCCGACAGAATTATCCACCGTAAACAGGAGGAGAGATTATTCAGAGGAAGAAGGGAGGGATAAAGGTTAACCCACGGAAGAGGTCTTAAAAGGGGTAAATCTAGAGGTGCCTGCGTGACTCAGTTGGTTAGGCATCTGACTCTTGATTTTCGCTCAGGTCATGATCTCAGGGTTCGTGAGTTCAAGCCCCACGTGGGGCTCTGTGCTGTCAGCACAGAGCCTGCTTGGGATTCTCTCTCTCTCTCTCTCTCTCTCTCTCTCTCTCTCTCTCTCTGTGCCCCTCCCCCACTCACATGTTTTCTCTCTCTCTCTCTCTCTCTCTCTCTCTCTCAAATAAATAAACTTTTTAAAACATGGGGGTACCTGAGTGGCTCAGTCGGTCAAGTGTCCAACTCTTGTTTTTGGCTCACGTTACGATCTCACGGTTCGTGAGTCTGAGCCTTGCGTTGGGCTCAGCGCTGACGGGTCAGCACCTGCTTGGGATTCTCTCTCTCTCCCTCTCTCTCTCTGCCCCTCCCCTGCCCATGCTCTATCTCTCTCAAAAGAAATAAATAAATAACATTTAAAAAAGGGGTAAATCTAGAGCAGGTCTGACATCTGTGATGCTCACAAATTGGCGAAGGCAGAGAGACAGAGGTGGTCATTCCACACTGGAGATCACCAATCAGCAAAGGCAGGAAGAGGGGTTCCTGAGGAAGGGGTTAGTCTGGAGGCGACGGAGGGTCCAGTGAACCACGGCCTCGGACTCCCCGGTGAAGGGGCTCCGGCCCAAAGCAACATGCAAAAACCAGTCTGGGATACACGCACACACACCCAGGATGCTCCCTTACCTTTCCCGTAGAAGAACTTGCGGTAATAATAGGCCCCGAGGTCAATGTGCTCTATGATGTAGCGCTTCACTTTCTCCCGGTGGATGGGCTGGTTCTCCCTCGGCACTTCCAGGACCGACACACCGGCGTTCGTGCAGTGGGAGCTCAGAGAGGACTCGAAGGAGCAGCCTTCCCCGGAGCTGAACGAAGACGAGCTGGCCCTGGAAAGGGCAATCCTCCTGTCGCCTTCCCCGCCAGTCTCGTTCCGAAAGTAAGGACAACTCAGGACGAGCTCGTTGCTTTTCCCGTCTCCCTCGTCAGCATCCAGGTTCTCCTTGGAGTTGAGGTCCTCCTTGCTCCCCAGAGGGGACTCGCAGTTGCCGGTCTGGCCCGCCGGCATCTGAGTCTGGGATGCCGCAGAGGCCCCGGTGGTGATGTTTTTCCGCTTCCCCACGTTGGCCCTCGTAGCCATGGCTTCGTTGATATTAAACAAAATGCTCTGGACGTCATAATGTGCAAAACACCGCTGACAATTCCAAGGGCGGACGCCCCGCTCCAGGCGACCATCTTCCGGGTCACACGTGAACTTGAACGTTTCATGTTCACTTTTAACAGTTCGCAGCTTCCGGAAGAGGGACGTCTCCACCGACTCCGACTTTAACCTCCGTTTGAAAGGTTTGTCCCTGTCTCTCCCCATGAGGAGGGCACTGTCCATGTAGTCTAATCCTGAGATGCGGACAAATTCTCCCCTGGATATCTGTGCTGCCGCGTGGAGGCTAGGAGAGATTGCAGGATCGCAGGGGAAACACTCAGGGAACCCAAAAGGGGCCATCGCTTTGTGGTCGTAGTTCTCTACTCGGTACCCTCTGAGCATAGCAAAGAAGTTCTCGCCAGATAAGCCCTGCCGGTCAATGGAAGACGTGCTCCCGTACTCTCGGTGGAGGGCCGCCCCGGTGTTGGGGTTCACTGCATTTTGGTCTAAGACGTCTTCAGCATCGATGTCACTGATGGTGACATCGCTGTTGCTTCTCTGCCTTATGGGGTGCAGCCCTCTTTGAGGAGAGTGAACAAAGATGTCCCCAATGGTGTACTTCGCCTCCACAAAGTCTAGATCGAGCTTCTCTTCTTGCTGACCGTCGCTCTGGTCGCTTTGCCCGTTGTGCGTGATGGACGTGACGCTTTCGTAACTGGTCTGAGACCGGCTCTCCCACAGCGCCTTGCAGGTCAGCTCCTTGGAGCAGTCTTTCTTGGGAGGCCACTCACACACTCTTGCTCTCACACCCATCTTGGGCACGGCTGGGGTGCCATTAGCCGGACCACTGCTCTCAGTGGAATTCGAGGCATTTAAAGAGGCGGCGGGGCCCATGTTGCCATTAATGGCTTTAAATTTTCGAGCAAAATAATCATCCGACTGCATGATTCTGGGAGGATCCTTGAACTTGGAAGAGGCCCTGCCAAGCTTGTGCTTCTCTTCTTGGGACTGCCTTGGGTCGCTCATGTCTGCCGAGGCAAGAAGCTCCAAGGCTCACCAGCAAGACTGAGGTGAAACTAATTACATTGTCATTTACGATGCGACCGTAAACGCAGATACAAAGGCTTCCTCTACAGCTGTACTTTCTCCTTTTAACCGAAAGCAAACAACATCCTCAGAGTATGGTTTTTCCAAAACCAGCTTGCTTCTCAGATGTTGAACTAATTTTGTGTGCCTCTGTCCTTTTCAGGAGCATTCCTTAAGACATCTGGCCTGGAGTATTTCCTTCACCTGAATTAAAACACAGAAAACAGACATTAGCAATTTTTGTCGCTCAAGTTCAATGCGTTCTACATAGGGTTTCTTATCGGTCCTTCTCTCCAATTTCTCCCCATCCCCAGTTCCCCCAAACGGTCATGAAGTTTCAAGTCTCTGTTGCTCACACTGCTCCTTCTCTCTGGAACATTCTGCCTTCTCGCACTACTTGGCTGGCTGGCACTTATATGCAGAATCGAGCAGTAACCTTTCCGAGAAACTTTGCCTCAGCCCACATCTGCCAAAGGGTGCTTCCTTTGTGTTCCCACAGCACCCGTGTCTACACTAATGGGAACAGATCTCTTTATACTCCTACTGGCTGGTGTATCGACCAGTCTCCTCCACCAGCTAACTTCAAGCTCCTCTCAGCCAGGAACACGCCCTTCATCTCTGTAACCAACATTATCTGTTAATGTGGCCTGGCTTAAATGAGGTAGACAAAACATTTCCATTAGTTACAAAGAGTAACACAATGGCCACGTAATTTTTTGAGTATCATTATACTTCCTTTCAAAACATGTAAACTCAAAATGTCCAGCAGCACAAGGATCAACACCAGGCGTTCTCAATGTATTTTTAGAATGCGGTCTTGCAATCGAATAAGAACCCGCCGAGATTCCTGGTGAAGTGGGAGGGAGCCTTTAAGAACTGGCTATCCAGGGGCGCCTGGGTGGCTCAGTCGGTTGAGCGTCCGACTTCCACTCAGGTCATGATCTCGCG